CCTGAAAAGAGCTGGGCACTAAGACAGTTCTGAAAAACAGAAAACCTGGGTATGAAAACTGAACTGTAAGCATACAAAATGTGGTACCTTCCCTTTCTCCCCATATCCTAACCTTAACAGCTCTGGCTTTCCTATAGCAAACAGACTGACGATCTCAGCAGGTTTTAATTTGGGACTCTTAATCAGTTCTCTGAACCATGTATCTTTTTGTAAAACGAAAGGGTTGTACAAATCACTTTAGTCCTTCTTGTGGACTAACAGTCTATAACAGCCAACTGCAGTTGGAATCACACTCCTTGCAGCATGAAAAACACACTGGGAGTATGCAGACACGTGTGCACCCAAAGTCTCGAGGAAATGGAGAAATGGAGGGAAAAAAGATTGCACTGTGACCATGCCCCCACTGGAGGGTGCTTTCTCTCTCTGGTGAGCACATCCTCTGGTATTACCAAAAAAAAAAAAAAAAAGTATCTCAGCCAGCCCCCTGTAAAACACTGTGCACATGAAGCCAGATCCCACACAGCCAACCAAGAACTCAAGTCCTGACCTCGATGGCTTCAAAAACAAAGTGCACACGCTTGCCCAGGATCATGACAAGATAAAGAACTGGGGAAAAAGGGGATTGCAGTGTTAACCAGGCCCCATTGTAGGAGGGGTTATGCCCTCTCTCTCTCTCTCTCTCTCTCTCTCTCTCTCTCTCTCTCTCTCTGTGAGACACAGGGGATTGCAGTGTTAACCAGGCCCCATTGTAGGAGGGGTTATGCTCTCTCTCTCTCTCTCTTTCTGGGAAGCATGCACCCTCTGGTTAAAAAACAAAATCTACCTAGATTAATTTATTTTTTATAAAACTTAAAAAGAAAAAGAAAGTGGCCAGCAGGTGGCATGGTGGTTAAGGCTCTAGATTCCACCTAGCTGACCATTATTCAAGTCCTGGACCAGCAGCTTGAAAAAATCACGACTGACACGTGTGTGTGCATGCCCAAAATCCCAAGAGGAATTATAGCATAGCCACTTCTTCTTAGGGGTCATTTTTCACTCCCCCCATCTCTTTCTCAGGTGAGTCCATGCGCCCTATGGCAAAAACCTTAAAGGGAAAAAACAGTCCTCTTCTCCCCTACTTCCTTGTGAGCTTCTTAGTGTAATGTCTTCATTTAAAAGGGCCTAATCAACATATATAAAATCTTCCTAACATAGTTAGTAAATATAAAAAAAAAAAAAATCCAGTCAAGCAGGTGACATAAAAGCTTGGGGAAAATCAGTATCCAAAGTAGCTTTATTCAAACCAATATACTTAACTGTTTCCAAATAAGGATATAACCTTCTATTGCCAAAAATATAGGTAAACTTCTCATAAACAGGCTCCTGAAAATGGCACTTGTTAAATTTAATATTAAGTTTTTGGTAAACACCCCTAATTTACTTAAGAAAAATTAAGTAACACTGAATGCATGTCTAATCATCTGGAAAACTGGCCACCTTTCAAAATACCAAACATACATGATTTTTTTTTTTTGAGGCTTTTTTGCTATAGGGTGCGTGCGCTCGCCAGAGACAGAGAGACAGAAAGCGAAAAATCACCCCCCAGGGGAGATGACCACACCGCAATCCCTTCTCCTCCATTCTCTTGGGATCTTGGGCACAAACCCACACGTGCCCGGCATGAGTTTTAAGCCACCGGGTCTGGGACGCGAACCGTGGTCGACTATGTGGGAGTCCAGCGACATAGCCATTATGCTAACTGCTGGTCCCATACATGGATTTTCTGTAACTGGCTAAGCCACATGGTATATGGAAGTAATAGTGGAACTGATTCTCCTATCATTTTCCTCTTACTTACAAGGAACTAAAAACTTACTAGGTTTAAGTGAAAAATAGAAGTAGGGGCTGTCCATAGTTTTAAAACAAGTCATGTAGACAAAGACTGAATCCTGATTTTAAGCTGGTACATAAGCATCAAAACCAAAACCAGTTAAGAATTTTACTCATTCAGGCCATAATGAGACTGTGACATGACAGATGAGCAAGGTAGTCTAATTTCAATTCCATCCTGAACAGATAGATACACATCCATTAATAAGGCAAATGAAAATAGTTTCACCTCACATGTGCCACCCGTTCTCCTTTACTATTCTAGTAGTGTTGATAAGCCTACCTGTGGTCCCCGGGAGCCCAGTATCAGAGTAAACAAATATCAGCCCCAGAAAGCATTACTACCTTATCATAGTAGTACATGGCCATTACCTGATCAGCAAACTTTAACCCACTTCCCCAACCCATACAGACTTTTCTAAGTTTCTGAAATATTTGTGGAAAGCTCTCTAACTGTCCACTGCCCACTTCTGGTACATTAGGCAGTTAACTAAAACCTCATATTCAAATGAATATTGATGCTGGTTCTTTTACAAGGTTAAAAATTGCTCAATTAAAGTCATTAATTTCATCTGCATGCAGTTTTGTAAAGATCCTTTGAAGTAGCACAAAAATAAAACTGTAATATAAGACATCAGTAGATTTGACAAATGCAACCATTTACTTAAAAGAAATCAGTCACTCAACATAGACCATGGTCTATAATTCTGAACTTCATAGAATGATTATTTCCACACAGATCCTAACAAATTGCTTTCTATAAAGTGCCACATTTTCACTCATCATTAAATTCTGCAAGAATTTTCAAACAAAAGGATAAAAAATGTAATCAAGGTAGCGGTTCTAAGCACAAAACACAATTATCTATAACTCACCTGGATTAGGCTATATCATCCTTATCCAGATTTCAAGTTTCTGCTAAATGTATTATCAAACTACACTTGAAAATAATTTAAGAACAAGTCTCTATTGTGTTACAAAATATAGAATGTGCAAGTCAAAGAGATTTATAAAATCCAAGTTCAGTTATCTTGTTTATCCTAAATGAAATGAAGAACAGCAATGCGAAGTTTGTTCTCAATGTCTTCTAGACCCAATAGCCTGTCTCTAGTACAGTAGTTTCATTACGGTAATGTCCTATTCATTTAACATCATTCAAATGTAAATAGGTAACCTGTGGTTCCAGAGAAAAAATATCAGTTTGGAGGCCAATCTGCTCCTTGCTACAAGGATGAGTGAGAACCCTAGTTTCTTTTTACTTTGATGCTGTTTCTTCCTCACTTACTACTTTGAGGCTAACATCATCTACTCCACAGGGTAGATGCGAAAAATTAAGTTTTCTATGCTTAAATGAAAAGAGTTATTAAACTAATGCTATGGTAGTTAACCTACTCATACAAAGTCAAGTAATCATTTTTGGATTATCCACTTCACTTCTCCGCAGCAATAGTTCACAAAGTTGCAAACACGGGAATACACGGGTAAAGCTCAATCTCACCACAAGAAGCAAACAAAAATAATTTTTAAAGACCCAAGATCTATTTATTCCCAGCATGTGTTAAAAGACTTAAGATGCAACGAACCAAACTAATCTTACCTAGCAAAAATACAAGAGCTTCAAGCTCAGTAACTAAGACTACACATTGTGCCATCTGTACAGATAAAAAAATGTACATCAAACCTGAAAAAGTTGCATGTGATGAGCTGCTGCAGTCCATAGAACTTACTTTATTTTCACTTTCTAACTCTATGTGAATATAAGCTTTTATGCTTATTCTATATGCAATCATAGAAGCAATGATATCAAAATTCTTCACAGTATCAACCATGGTACTAAATCTTGTATCTCAGGTCCAATGCTAATCAAAAACCCACAAAAATCCCAATTCTGATGATAAAAGTTACTAGAAAAATTGTTTTCTGTACTATGCAGTAATTTTCTGCAAGAAGTTATAAACCGCATCTAGCATATATTGCTACTACCTTTCCTTAAACAGAGACACACACACACACGCACACACACATACACACATTTGGTATAAACAGTACAAAGTGACAGTATGAATTACGTAAGAATGGATGTTATTATTACTAAGAGGTTTTCATTTCTGAATTAGTTTACTTTATCAAAGATGAGTCTCCACTCTTCTCTCTGCTCCATCTACACAAGGAAAGGGACTATCTGTGCTCGGTGGGGTTGCTTCTTTTTCATTAAATTTGCTATAGGGTATGTGTGCTTGAGGGAGGGGAAGGAAAAGTGAAGAAGCACCCCCTCCTCCAGAGGGAGATAGCCGTGCAATCCCACTCCTCCATTCTCTTGGGATTTGGGGGGCCTCCATGCTCCTCTCAGGACATGTGTGCTGGTGCTGCCCAGACTGAGACTCAAACCACAGCCTGCTGTGAAAGATGCAACTGCCTTAACTACCACACCCATCACTGGCAGGCCATGGGGTTGCTTCATTTGTGCAGAGCTTGTGATGACAATGTCAAATTGAGAATCACCACATCTAGTCAGTTTCCATAAACCTCTGGGTAGAAGAATTCCTATTTTTAAATGTATGTTTTATTATTCACTTTTGAAAAATATTTCTAGGGTATCCATAATTTATTTATGACCATTAGGTTACATAAGAGTCCCCCCTCCCCCCAAAAGTAACTAACTCTTTTTTCCCTTTCTACCACAAGCTTAATATAAGCTACAAAAGTACAAACTGAAGTTCTTCCAAATTGCCTGGACCAAATGAAGTGGTTACCAAATAGCTACTCAAACTAACCCAAAGAACAGCCATGTGTCTCAGTTACTTATGTGAAGGAGATGCTTCCAATTTTCAAATACTTGTAGTACTGGTATCAAACTAGTAACATTGAAATTTTAGTATAACTAGTCCCTTCATAGCAAAATGAAACATTCTTAATCCTATTCATATACTATCCTTAAACAACACTCCCAAAGATGAACACTGTAAATAAATAAGTTAGTCTTGACAACTTGGTTGTCTTTCAATTAGTAATGGCAAGTTATCACAAAGACTTGCTTTTATACACATGTAACTAAAACCTTCACCCACCTCACACACAGCACTCAACAAAGAACATACTAGGCAAAACGAGTATTAGTCTATATTGCCAGATTAAGTTTTCTTCCAGAAATATTTTAATAAAAATTGGCCATTTCCAAGAAACACCCACTGCATGCCCATCAATAAAAGAAAACCATAACAAAATAGAAAATTTACCATGTGGCTATGATTTAAAGAAAAAAGCTGCAGACACTCAAGCACATCAGCAAAATCCAATATTAAAGTCACATTCCTTCTTATGGGCTATGATTAGGAATCTGATTATATACCAAAAATAAAACTTAATACAAATGCTGAACTATTTAGGTCAAAGGACTTCTATAGAAGCATCTGTCCTCAAAGGCATTCCAGTTTTGAGACTCAATTTTAGAATAAGGCATAACAAATGTTAACAGAAGATATACAAGGTGATGAAAAAAGGAATTCTGCAATTTCCCACATACTCTGAACCTGATAAAACAAATCTATTTTTTTTTTATTTTACTTTTAACAACTGCCAAAACTGAAATCAAAGATAAATAGAAGGCACAACAGTTCTCCTCTGTTTTTTTGTAATTCAGATTGGGGGGATTTTTTTTTGTTTGTTTTTTGTTTTCTTACAAATACAAATTAAACATGAAAAAACTACTTCAAAAAATCTAACAGTTCAAGAAAAGCATGTATCAGTTGCATTCCAGACATTTAAAACCTACCTCACAATTTAAATGTCAATGGTAAAAACAGTAGGCTTTAGAATTGTTTTGTGATCATATCAAAAGAAGAAGTCTATTAACACCTTTTATTCAGTTTTTAACAATTCCAGCAAGAATCAAACTTGTCAAATTTTCCAATGGCAATTTCTCCACACCAGAAGGAAGTCATGACTCTCAAAGTAACAATTTGGGTATTTTCTGCCTTCAAAATGTTCTATCAAATCCTGTATTTCTAACAGGCTTTTAGAAACACGTAGAAAATAAGAAATATTCCAATGAATGAAAGATACCAAATGTCAGTAATAAGCGACACATTCCTTTGGGGAAATGGCTGTTAAAAAAATCCAGTCTCTATATGCAAAGCAAGGAAATTGTCTTTTTTTTTTTTCTTTCTTCTTTAAAAATCCATTACTCCTAAAATATCATTCCACAAAATTGGAAGTGAAGGACTAAAAAGTCAGCAGAGGAAAGGGAAAAGATGAGCACACACCAGTAACACAAGAAGTAAAATTGTACAAACTTAAGCAGTTTATAACAGACTAGAGTAATACTCCAAGATACCAAAGGCTGGTTGAAGAAATTCACCATTCTGCAGGAACTAGGATTTGTACTGCTGCATGAAGATCAATGAAGAACAATCACTGCCTTGGAGCAATCCCCCTTCCCACTCCAAATCCTGGTTTCTGCACCATGCCTCCACGGGGAGGGCCTCTCATTCCACCACCAAGCCCACCTCGAGGGCCTCCAGGTCCCCGCAGGCGGTTATCTCGGCGGTCCCCTTCCCTGGCAGCTCGAGTCTTCTTCTCTTCGACATTCAGACGGACCTCACCTCTGAACATGATGGGCTGTAAGAATCAAGGTTACTAGACTTACTCAGTGTGTTTATGACTACCAAAGAAAAAACAAAGCTATAAAAAAGACTTAGCAGCTTATAGTCAGTTAAATTCTCAGAGGCGAGTTTTATTTCAAACTCAGACACGTATTTTCCCACTAATACATGGAAAAGTGGTTAAGTAATAGGCTAGTTTACAAAAGCCAATTTAAATAGCACAGAAGCACAAGTAGTTGTCATTGTACTTATTAAAACAAATCTCATTTTTCTCAGAGAATTATATGAATAGAATAATATAAACAAGAATTGGTACCTTCACCACAGATGTGGAGGATTAAACCTCATAATCCTGTAAAGTAGAAAGACGGTGGTGCTCATATTTACACAAAGTACATACACATGTCAAAGAAGACGGACCTAAATGTAACAAGAAAAACTGAAGAATTTTGAAAAATACTGGGGCCAGCAGATGGTGTAGTGGTTACATCGCTGGACTTTCAGATGGCTGATTGTGGTTCAAGTCTCAGGCCCAGTGGCTTGAAAATCACACCAGTTGTGTGTGCTTGCATGCCCAAGATCCCAGAAGGAGAATGGAAAAGGGACTGTGGCATGGCCATCACCCTAGGAGGTGATTTCTCACTATCTCTGTCTTTCACTTTTCCCCAAGTGAGCACATACATCTTAAGACAGAAACTTCTTTCCAAAAAAAGAATGGGAGGGAATATATTCCAAAATGATGTCAATTTGCACTCTTCACTGGCAACATGATGTCCTAATTACTTTTCAAATAACTAGCAGAACTTACCATGTGTCACAGAAGTGTTTCATTCTCACTTATTAGTTCCTTTAATCAACTCTGATGACAACCCTCTAAGGGTTATTATGACACCTTTTTTAGAGACTAGTGAACTAAGGATGAGAAAGGTTAAGAAATCTGTCCCCTGAGTAGCCACCCTAGAGGAATATAAACCAAGGACAGGCAAATATAAGCTTAGGGGACCAGCAGGTGGTGTGATAGTTAAGGTGCTGGACATTCCAACATAGTCGACCATGATTTGAGTCCTGGACCTGATGGCTTGCTTTCTCACTTTCCCTCTTTCTCTCTCTCTCTGCCTCTCTCTCTGGTCAAATTAAAATAAAATAAATGAATAAATAAAATAAGTAAGAAGAATATGAACTTTGAACCTCTATGCTACAATACACTATTGTGTGTCATACACCATGATAATCAGTCTTATACAAGGTATTCTGTACTCACAAAAAGTTACTGAAGGGAGTACAGTAGGCTTCTACCGATAAGTATAGTGAAAGAAATGGCAGGCTACATTTGCAGATGCCTTGTACAAAACAGAATTCTCAAAGGACACATGATGAAATCTGCATATAGATTTTTTTTTTAATTTGCCTTCTGTGGTCTCGTGCAAATTACTACTTTAAAATCTGATTTTAAATGGTTATGTATGCATAAACAAAAGTGAATAAATCAAGTACATATACACTGTATATAAATCACTTGACACATTAATCTAAAGCACTGCTCTAGGAGCAATGTTCCAGACACAACTGGAAATGGCAAAGACAATACACAAACAAAAACTATAAACTAGACTATAACCATGTTAAAACATGAAAGATGAGGAAAGAAGTTGGTACTAAGTTTTCTTAAAAAGGTAATTTATGGGGGACCAGCGAGTGGCGTGATGGTTAAGGCGCTGGACACTCCCATATGGCTAGGCACAGTTCGAGTCCTGGACCTAGTGGTTTGCTCTCTGCCTCTCTCTCTCTCTCTCTGGTCAAATCAAAATAAATAAATGAATAATGTTTTTAAAAAAAGGTAATTACAGAAGGAATCTTGAGTTATTATAAGAGAGTAAGAGAGGTATTCAGTATAAAACTGTATACTAAAACTAACCTGGACAAACTACCACTTATCTTAGTTAAAAATAACATTGTATATTTTTGTAACCAGCAGATGGCATAATGGTTATGTTGCTGAACTCCCATGTAGTCAACTGGGGTTCGAATCCTGAAACTCACGCTGGTGCATGTGTATGCATGCCAAGAATCTGAAAGGAGAATGGAGATGGGATTGTGGTGTGGCTATTCCCTCGGGGACTGATTTCTTGCTTTCTGCCTCTCTGGCAAGAGATTTCAAAAATCTCTTAAAAAAACAAACAAAAAAATTTGCTATAGGGCACATGCGCTTGCCAGAGAGACAAAGACAGAGAGAGAGAGCACAAGAAATCACCCCCCTAGGGGGGTGGCCATGCCGAAATCCCTTCTCCTCCACATTCTCTTTTCAGAATTTTGGTCATGCACGCATGTGTCTGGTGTGAGTTTTAAGCCGCCAGGTCTGGGACTCAAACCGCAGTCAACTAAGTGGGAGCCCAGTGACATAACCATTATGTATCTTATCTGCTGATCCCAAAAAAAACTCTCTTTAAAAAAATTATATTTTAATCTCCTCTGAATCACATACTATCACCAAGGAAATCAATCTGTAAAAATTTCAACATAATGAAACTAGTTATTTTATTCTCATCATTCGATTATTCAAAAATATTAAGTTATTTAGAAATTTTGTTTTCTAAATTTTGTGGCAAGTGTTAATAAGAATGATTGAATATCATGGGACTAAATCCTCAAACATGTTGGAATAAATTGCACTTTATATAAAAAGACATAGGTGTAATGATGAATAAATTCTAGAGAACCAAGATAAATACTTACAAAAATAGAGGGAAAAAAATCAAGAGAAAACATTGCTTACCCTGTTGCTAAGGACCTTCTGAACAGGCTCAGAATCATCAAACACAACGAATCCAAAATTGGGTAATTTCCCACCACTGTTAATGCGCAGCTCCACCACATTCCCATAATCTGTAAGTGAAACAGAATCTCAGATAATTTATCAGAACGTTTCCTTCATACATTATACACGCACTGCCCAATATGGTAGCCACTAAACACATGTGGTACTGAGCACTAGAAATGTAGCTAATCCAAGATGTGTCACAGTGTAAAAGACACACTGGAGTTCCAAAACTTGGTATTAAAAAAATAAGTATATCTTACAATATTTGTACATGTTAAAATGTTTAGATAGGCTGGGTTAAACAAAATTATTAAAATGAAACTCCAGTTTCTTTTCCTTATTTTACATACCTACTAGGAAACTTTACATATATAGAACTTAACATACATTTCTATTACACAGTAGTACACAACATAACTTTAGTGTTCAAAATTCAGTAACGTACTTTGAAAGAAATCTTTAAGCTCTGACTTGTCCACCTCATGAGGCAGGTTGCCAATGAAGAGCTGGTGACTATCAGGATGTCTCACAATCCTTCGGGGTTCAACATCACCTTGCTCGCCAGTCTCACGGACTTGAGAAGAGATTAAAAACAGTAATGAATGAAAAAGACACCTTTCATTGAATTCATACTCACTAAGTTTCCCTTAAATCAACCCCACATATTTTTTTCCTGAAAATGTGCAAATGTCACTTGCCCCTCAAAATAAGGTATCTCAAATTCCCCCAACTATAAAAATCACCCCCTCTATGCTCTTACTTGGTCTGGGTCCCCTCTGTGGAGGAATATTTATTCGTTGTTCTCGCACTCTTTGATCCCTTTGAGGCCTCTGTGGTGGAATCTGAGATTCAGGCTTCGATTCTGGACGGGGCTGAAAAGTTTGTTTTTACAGAAAAGTTAACTTAAAAAAAATCTTTTTTTTTTTTTTTTTAAATTTTTGCTATAGGGTACCCACGCTCACGAGAGAAAGAGAACTCCTCATGGGTAATGACCATGCCAAAATCTCCTCTCCTCCCTTACCCTCTTAAGATTTAAGGCACGTAAGTGTACACACACCTGGCATGTTTTTCAAATCACCACGTCCAGGACTTACAATATGCAGCCAGCCATGTGGCGACCTTACCCCTCATCACCAGCTAGTCCCAGGCTTAACTTTTGTCTTATGAAATTTCTCAGCTAACAGTAAGGTTTAAACTAGAAAATGACAATTCTCTCAAAAAAGAACAACAAAAAAAAAGACCTTAAAAACTACTTTATACCAGTCTCTTCTGACTTATATACTATTGGGTTGTTGGAAAAGTAATGACGTATTTTCCTATACAAAAATGCATCGACTTTCCCATGATTCCCAATAGTCTTCTCACATTACCAAAATGCAAATAGATGCTTCCCACTGTCCAAGTTTCATTAGAAACCTTACCTGTGAAGCCGGTACTTTAACAACATGAGGTGGTATCCCAGTAACTGGAACAGCTCCACTGGGTGGAAGGTTTTTACTGGTTACAGATGCCCAAGAAAACGTCTAAAGGAACACAATCAACATTACGTCACACCATATATCAAAACAACACGAGAACTAGCCCTCAATTGTATATACATAATATATAAATTATTTTGAGAAATTGTTGCTATGGGACGCATGCAATCCCCAGAGACAGAGACAGAAAGCAAGAAATCACCCCCTGGGGGGATGGCCACACAGCAATCCCTTCTCCATTTTCCTCTGTGGATTTTTTGCATGTTCACACACGTGCCCAGCATGAGGTTTAACCCACTGGGTCTGGGACTCAAACTACAGTCAACCACATGGGAGTCTGGCGATGTAACCATTATACCATAAGCTGGTCCCCCAATACATACATTATTATAGGTCGATAGAGTTTCAAAATATCTTGGGATTCCTTACTTTCACCTACCCACAAATTCAGTATTAAAATTGAGACTGATGACCAAGTTATCAAACATGAGAGGCTTAGGATGAAAGAAAATTCAAGTATGTAAATCAAAGAAAATACTCTCTTCCAAAACAGCTCAGCTCTTCCTCCTGATTTGCTCAATCTATGGTACAAAGACCAACCCAGTTACAGGAGCTTCAGAACCATCTTGAATACTGTTCTTGACCCAGGCAACCTACTAGATAGCAAGAATCCAATCGGCTTTTATGAAAATCACTTTTAAAAAATTGTATAGCACACAGCAAACACTTAAAATTGATTGTTGAGGGGCCGGCAGGTGGAGTGGTAGAAGAGGACACTGGACTCCCACATGGCCAAATGGCCAATTGTGGTTTAAGTCCCAGACCTGGCAGCTTGCTTTCTCTCTCTCTCTCTCTCTCTCCCCCTCCCTCCCTCCCCATCAAATTAAAAATAAATAAAGAACTTTAATATAAGTTTTTGTTGTACTAAAAGATAATTTTGGTTGTTGAATAAACCAATGACATTAAAGCCTTAACTCTATAAATACAGCATTAAATAAACTGCCTTCCCAAAACAGACAATTTCTTTCTGTGGATTAATACATTACCTAATGGAACTCAAACAAGTATAAAAAGAAACTGTTGAAATCAGGTAGTCTAATTAGAAAATTAGTTGGATTTCAGCAGTTTGTTTCTTCTACTATAAAATTACTCTCAAGTAGATTTCCTAGAAAAAGGCAAGAAAGACCATGAAAGATCAGTGGTGGTTAAAGTGGTCAGATCCCACATGTCTGACTGTGCAGTATGAGTCCCAGACGCGTATGCTTAAGTATGCATAGCGTATGTGCCTGCTGGCCCAAAACTCAAAATGAGGGAGATATGAAAAAGGAATTGTGCTGTGACCATTCCCCATGGGGAAGAGGGGAATGCTTCCTCCACTCCCTCTGTCAAGCACATGTGCCTACTAGCCAAAAAAAAAAAAAAAAAAAAAAGATGGGAAAAATTCTATTATACCATGTTACTTTTTAATAAAAACATATGCTATATGCTTGTTATAATAAATATGTAATAATTTACTATTGGAAAGATAAAATACTAAATAGATGAGAAATTATTACTGATAAAATGTCACCTAGTTTCTGTGGCCTCTGAGTATTCAATTACCTTGGTGGGAAGTAGGAAATTACTTTTATTACATTTCAAGGTTAGTCAAGTTAATTTTATTTAATGTTATAAATATAAATTCTATAACTATAACTAGGAAATAATCTATTTCTATTACTCTGTTTTACATTATTTAAATTTCATGACCACTGACTCTATCAGAAAGGAAATATTCTGAGGCCAGTGAAGACTGTGGTGAAGGCAGCTGAATCACACATGGTCAACATTGCAGTTTGAGTCCCCGACCTGGCAGTTTTGCAGGACACACTGGGCACATGGGCATGCATGCCCAGTATCCTAAGAGAAGAGTAGAGGAATGGAGAGGGAATTGGGGCAATAGTCATCCTCCTAGGCTGGGAGGGGTGCTTTCTCTCTCTCTCTCTCTCAAGCATGCACACATGTCTTATATCTAGTGGTTAAAGAAAAGAAAGGAATAATCTTTATTTCTAAACCTATCTCACTTATAGTCCCTAATATGAGGGGACTTCAAAAAGTTTATGGAAAAATGGAATTAAAGTACAAGTTTATGGCAAGCTCCTTGGCCTGAAGATTAAGAGAGCCAGGTCTCACATTACTGACTGCACAGACTCAGTGGCTTGAGAAACACACTGGGTGTATGTGCATGCATGCTCAAAACTACAAAGGAGAAAAGAAATGAAGATGGGATTGCAGCATGACTACTCCCCACAGAGGGTACTTTCTCTTCTTTGGTGAATGCACACATCCTCTACCTGAAACAACAACAACAAGTACTGATACAAGTTTACACTGATGTAAAAAAAAAAATTTAAATCCATGCATAAATTCTTTGTTATTTTCCATTAATTTTTTTTCAAGTCTCCAATAGGCTCAATATTTGTATTAACTATCTATCTCCCTATATTATTTTAATCACATATCTGGTAATTCACATATAATAATTATACGTATTTATGAGAGACAGTGTAGTTTTTCAAAATATGAATCAGAGCAATAAACATAGCCACCACCTCAAAAGTTTATCATTACTTTTCAAATGTGCATTGAACTGTTGCCAACAACTCCTACTCTAGAACTCAACCCACTTACATATGCATTAACCAAGTTCTGGAGAGTTACTTTCACTATTTTAAAGCAATATGCTTCTTATTTCTTATCGGAGACAAGGCTCAGTATATTAAAAAATTTCTCTTAACAATACAAAAAGGAACAAAGGATCTTCAAGTTCACAGAAAATGTATGTTATGAAAACTCTATGTTATTTATTTATTTTTAATTTGACCAGACAATGACAGAAAAAGAGAAAGGAAAAGAGAGAAAGCAAGTCACCAGGTCTGGGACTCAAACCAATCACCCATGTGGAAATCCAGTGCCTTTAACCACCACATCACCTGCTGGCCCCTTCAATTACATGTTTCCATGAACTTTCTAAAGTATCCACATAGCTACAAGAGTCAACAAAATGACGAGAGCTTTTTTTAAAATAAACTAGAAATATAGCCAACATGAAGACGTTTGATACCCTCAAGTCTTCCTGTACTGTCTGAGCTATGTCTGTAGGTGCTGGAGAAGAACTCTTCTGAGTATCCTCAGGGGCAGTTTCTTCTAACACTGGCTCAGACTTTTCCTCTTGGATTTCAGATACAGGTTCTTGTTCTGGTTCTGGTTCAGGATCAGGCTCTGGTTCAGCAACAGGCTCCTCTAAATGTTCTTCCAAGTCATTGCTTTCACAGAAAAATTTGAGAAATATCAGTTTCCACTGACGACAAATTTCTAATCATAAATTAATTTACTACTTGAAACCCTGCAAACATAGTTCCCTCTCTCCAAAAAAGAGCTAAGAATTATACATCTCAGTATAAAGGCAACCTGAAAAAAGGTATTGAATGAGTAAACCTTAACTAGAATTGGTTTATTAGGTAAATTCTGATAAGCAAATGAATTAAAATAAACTAGAATAAATGGAACCATTTTTCTCATTCTGCTGGAATCCCAAAACTATTACAATGTACTCAGAATACATCTCAAAAACTATAAGAGAATGGGGAGGGGGAGAGGCTATTTGACATGCATAGCTGGTCTTACAAAATGAGAAGTTGTAGAGATCATAAGGCTGGCTCCACAGCCTAGTGGAAGGAAGCTGGATATGACAGGGTCAATCCGTGTTCAAGCCCCAACCATGTTGGTTAGAAAAACACCAGGTGCATGACTAAAATCCTAACAGGACAAAGAAATGGAAAAAAGACTGCAGTGTGACCATGCCACATAAGGAGGTGCTTTCTCCTCTCCCTGTTTCTCCTTGGCAAGTGCATGTGACCTCTGACAATTAAAAAAGAAAGTAACACTCATATATATAGTTAATGCAACTGTACTGTATATTTAAAATGATTAAATTGTTAAACCTCCCATGTGGCTTGTACTACACATGCGCACACAAAAATCTCTAATAAAAACATGAGAATTTTAAAGACGAAATACCTCAGATGTGACTCAGAATAATAATTTTTAAACTTTGCTTAAATCACCAGGAATGCTGTTAAAACTAGTTGCTTTTCCTCATTAAATTCTAATTAAGTGGATTTGTGATTGGAACCATGATTATTTTAAACTACTGACCCAAGCCTGTAACATGGCTAGTCAGTCAATCACTACATCTTACTACACCTTGAAAATATCCTTTAGGCACTGAATATTAACATTTGTGGTGTCATGTGGTAATAACTATGTACTTCTACTCCTATATCAAACATATTTCTCTTCCAAATGCATGGTGGGGAAAAAAAACCCTAAGCAACAGTAACACACTGGAGCAGGTAGCTAGTATGGTGGTTGGAACTCTGGATTCCCACATGGTTGAATATGGTTCAAGTCTCAGACCAGGCAGCTTGCTTTCTTGCTCTTTCTTTGGTCAAATTAAATAAATAAATTTTTAAAGGGAAAAAAATGACATACCAATTGTTTAAAGTAACAGAATTCTTCTTACTACTAAAAACTCATGTTTCAATATCAATACCTGACCTCTAATTAAGTAATAAGTTCATCCTTGTACGTTTTATCCTCTCAAAGCAATTAATGCAATGTCTTAATGTACTCCACACTCCTTTAAAAAAATCTTATTCAAATTTGTTTTCCACTTATGACCAAGAAAAATACTAAATAAAAAACCATTTGAGATGAAACAGTTTTCATATTACAATCTGTTACTGATAAGTACATTATAAGTTTTGTTTGGTAAAAGACATTAGATAAAAACATTTATAAGTCAAAAAAAAAAAATCAACTTTTCTTTTTATTTTTGAGAGAGAGATTTTTGCTATAGGGTATGTGCACGCTTGCCAGAGAGACAGAAAATGAGAGATCACTGCCTTGGGGGAATGACTACACCAAAATATCTCTTCCCCTCCATTCTCCTCTCAGGAAGTTTGTTTTTTTTTTTTTTGTTTTTTTTTGTTTTTTTTTGTGGGGGGGGGTTGCTATATAGGGCACATGCACGTGCCAGAAAAACAGAGAAAGCAAGAACAAGAAATCACCCCCGAGGGGGGATGGCCATGCCACAATCTCTTCTCAGTCACTCTCCTCTTGGGATCCTGGACACGCATGCACACATGCCTGGATTGAGTTTAAGCCACTGGGTCCAGGACTCGAACTGCAGTAGACTACGTGGGAGTCCAGCGACATAGCCATTATGCCAACTGATGGTCCCTCAACTTCATGTTTCAACTGATCTTTTGAGGCCAGTCTCTGCCCTAGTGGCCAAGGAAACCGGATCCCACACAGCCTGGACCTGGCAGCCTGAAAAACACACCCAAAAGAGGGAGAAATGGAGAAAAGACCATGGCAGTGCAACCATGCCCCCACGGGCGGGTAGCGCATATGCTAATCTATTTGTAACTATGTTTGCCTATGTGTTTCATAACATTATGTAAACCTAAAACATACACAATAAAAAGTAAAAAAAAGGGGCCAGGAGATGACATCACAGTTACATCACTGGACTCCCACATGTCTGACTATGGGTTGAGTCCCAGACCCAGTGGCTTCAAACTAATGTCAGGCACATCATACCAAGAGAATGGAGAAGGGATTATGGCATGGCCATCCTCCCCAAGGGGTGATTTCTCACTTTCCCTCTTACTGTCTCTGTCTCCAGCAAGTACATGTGCTCTAAGACATAAAAAAAAAAAGAAAAAGAAAAAGAAAAAGAAAACCTCTTTAAAAAAAAACAAGTAAAAATAAAGAAGAAAACATTTCTTTTGGGAAATTACTCATTTTCTAAGATAACTGAATATATATGATTGCTCTTTAACTAAAGGAAAGACTATTATACAACTCTTTATGGAGCCTTGGACATGCAAATATTTTTCTTACCTGACACTCTGATCATAGAAAGTTCCAGAATCATCAGGTACCACCTCAGGTGTCTGTTGTCTTTCTTCAGGTTCCTCTACTTCTTCCTCAGATTCTAAGTCAGGAAATAATAAACTTGTGCTTAATTCATTAATATATTCACTTTTAAAATATTTACTATGATCAAGGTACAATGAAGAAACAAACACATAAAACAGGAGGCAACTTGGAAAAATCATGGCATAGACTTCAAGAACAGACTTAAACTTATCATAATGTCTCAGTTAAGAACATCAAAGTCAAGGGACCAGCAGTTAGCGTAATGGCTATGTCATTTAACTCCCATGTACCCGACCGTGGTCCCAGACCTGGTGGCTTAAATTCCCACCAGGCGCATGTGCGTGCGTGCCAAAGATCCTGAGAAGAGAATGGAGAAGGGATTGTGGCATGGCCATGCCCCCTGGGGGGATGATTTCTTGCTTTCGCTGTTTCCCTGGCGAGTGCACACGCCCGATAGCAAAACCTCTCAAAGAAAAAGGGAACTAGCAGTTAGCGTAATGGCTATGTTGTTGGACTCCAACATGGGCAACCGCAGTTCGCGTCCCGGACCCGGTGGCTTAAAACTCACGCCGGGCACGTGTGTGTGCATGCCCAAGATCCTGAGAGGAGAATGGAGGAGAAGGGATTGCGGCGTGACCATCCCCCCTGGGGAATGATTTCTCGCTTTCTGTCTCTAATGTCTCTCTCTGTCTGTCTGGCGAGCGCACGCACCCTAGAGAAAATCTCTCCAAAAAAAATAAATAAATAGACCAGGGAGCCAGCAGTTAGCGTAATGGCTATGTCGCTGGACTCCCAAGTAGTCGATCGCAGTTCGCGTCCCGGACCCGGTGGCTTAAAACTCACGCCGGGCGCGTGTGCGTGTGTGCCCAAGATCCCGAGAGGAGAATGGAGGAGAAGGGATTGCGGCGTGACCATCCCCCCTGGGGGGTGATTTCTCGCTTTCTGTCTCTATGTCTCTCTGTCTGTCTGGCGAGCACATGCACCCTACAGTGAAAATCTCTCAAAAAAAAACAAAAAAACAAAAAAAACAAAAAACAAAAACAAAAACAAAAAACACCAGGAAAGTCGGAGATAGCAGGTGGCATGGTGGTTAAGGGTGCTAGACTCCCACACAGTTGACTGATGTGTTCGAGTCCTGGATCTGGTGGCTTGCTTTTTAATTTTCTCCTTCTCTTACACTCAATCTGTCCCTCTCTGGTCAAATTAAAATAAACAAGTAAATAAATAAAACTAAATAAAAATAATTTTGGGGGCCGACAGATACCGTGGTGGTTAAGGGCACCGGACTCCCATATGGCCCACTGCAGTCCAAGTACTTGACCTGGTGGCTTGCCTTCTCACTCTTGTTCTCACTCACTCAACTCTCACTCTTTCTCTCTTTGGTCAAACTAAAATAAATAAAATTTTAAAAAATAATAATTCCTTTAAAAAAAAAAAGCACATGAAAGTCTAAGGTCCTATATACGGCAATCTAATGCAAACTCTACCACTTTACTAGCCATATAACATTATATAGATTACCTCATTCAGTGTCCTAGTCTATACAATGAGGACAACAGTAACTACTTATCTGTAAGGCTGTGTATTATCACACACTAAACATAAATGACTTAGAACCAACTCAGCCACGTAGAAAACAATCAAATACTATTAGTTTGGAGAAAATTCTCCATGACTCTCAGTGTTTCTACACATCATCTACCTATGACTAAAGTACATTTGTATTTTAAGAACAGTTTTGGTCAGGTATATGTCTCCTTCAAAGTAATGATAATTAATCCTATAATTGAAAATCATACTCCATGTGCTTCCTGAAGGACAGGCATATATTTACTAATATAAACAATTTAGGTTCCCTAAACTCAGGGTTCGATGGCCTTAACTCAACCTAGTGTAGTGTAAGCATCATCAGGGCCTCTTCATGGTATCCTATGGAACCAGGGCAAAACTGCTATTATTCCTGTCCACTTCTGGCCTAGGATTCTTATGTCTTCTACCAATAACCATGAAGTAAGCTAACACTAGCTTCAATTAGGATAAAACTGTAGAGCCCTCATCTGAACTGACAATTCTTAATTACTAAGTGAAGAATGCAGAGTATGCTGAAAACCTTCAAAAAATTCAGTGTGGGAAGTAAATCATGAAAAAAAATTAGACAAGGGGCCAGCAGGTGGCATAATGGTTAAGGCTCTGGACACCCACATGGCTGACCATTGTTAAGAGTCCCAGACTCACTACTAAATAAATCATGCTGGGCACAAACGTGTGCATGTCTAAAATCCAGAGGAGAAAGGATTGTAGCATGGCCATCCCTCAAGGGCTAATTTCTCACTTTCCCTGTCTCTCTCCAGTAAGCACACATACCTGATGGAAGGGGAAAAAAAAATTTTTTAATTTAAATAAGTAATTTAGTGTTCCACTACTTACCCTCCTGAGGCTCAGTGACAAAACCACCAAAAACCTCATCTTGGTATCTGAAGATATCATTGTGAACATAAAATTTATTTGCAACAGAACCCTGCAATGCCAACAAAAAGATTTCATTTATTCAAACTTTAAAATGTCAACAGTGACAAGAAAATGTTTTTTATTTGCTCAAAATATTTATCATTCATCTGATGGAGGTCTAAAAACTCTAGGTATGTTGGACACCACAGTCTATCACTAAGAGAGAAAGTATATCAGAAAGTATATCATTAAGAGACAATTAAATTCTTTTTTTTTTAAGAGAGATTTTTGCTATAGGGTGTGTACACTCAGCAGACAGACACAGAAAGATAGAAGGCAAGAAAACACCCGCTGGGGGGAAGGTCATGCCTCAATCCCTTCTCCTCTATTCGCCTCTCAGGATTTTAGGCATGCACAAACATGTACCCAGTGGAAGTACGAAGCCACCAGGTCCAGGACTTGAATCGCAGTTGGCCGTGTGGGAGTCCAGCAACCTAACTATTACACCATCTGCTGGTCCCAAGATTACAATTATATTCCTAATTTCAGTGCATATTTAAAATTTCCTTAAATCTGTATCCAAGATTAAAAGGACTCAGGGTGGTGTAGCCGCAAAAACTTGTTCACACTAGGTATAAGACATGCCTGAGTCCAAATCCAAGTATGTCATTTGTTATTTCCTCATCATTAAAAAGGTATCACCACTACCTCAGTAATGTACATACTAAATGAGACAGCTTGCATAACAATGCATTATATTAAGGAGAAGTCAGATATTTTTCTTTAAAGTATAAAGAAATGATAATTAACCCTGTAATACAGAAAAATCATACTCCAGGACCAGCAGGTGGTATGGTGGGTGAGGCTCTTGGACTCCACATGGCTATGTGGTCCTGGCCCAGCAGCTTGGAAACATACTGGGTGAGTGCACATGCATGACTAAAATCCCAGAGAAGAGAGGATGAGGAACTACAGCAAGGTCATACTTCCTATGGGGGGTGGGGGATAGATGGAGGGTGAGGGGTGGCACACATAAGGGGGCAGTGATTTCTCACTTTCCCTATCTCTTTTCTCTGATGAGAACAAACACCCTATAACAAAGTAAAATAACTTAAAAATAATGAGATTAGATAATCTCAATTTGCCTCCACTGAAGATGCAATTAATTCTAACCAGGACTCATCAATAAATGCTAAAGCCAGTATATGAAAGTTTGATGAACAGGGTATATATACATAGTCTCAAATAATCTTCCAAAATTTATTTACAAATCAGAAAGGGAAAAACACTTTACACAGTAAAACTTAGTGACATCACCTTAACTAAGTAAACCAAGTTATCACTGACAGAACTAAGTATTATCGGCCCCTCAGAAGCACTGAGACAGACACACTTATGTTGATACATTCTACAAATAAGCGACTGTGCTCTTCAAAAATGTTAATGTCATGGACCAGCAGTTAGCCTAATGGCTATGTCGCTGGACTCCCATGTAGTCGACCTCGGTTTGCGTCCCGGACCCGGTGGCTTAAAACTCACGCCGGGCGCATGTCCAGGCATATGCCCAAGATCCCGAGAGGAGAATGGAGAAGGGATTGTGGCGTGGCCATCCCCCCTGGGGGGGGGGGCAATTTCTCGCTTTCTGTCTCTCTGTCTCTCTCTGTCTGGCGAACGCATGCACCCTATAGCAAAAAACTCTCCAAAAAAAAAAAAAAAGTTAATGTCATGAAAAATAAAAATTAAGGATTAAAGCAAACTAGGAATATGTCGGCTAATGCAATGTGTAACTGAGGATTCAATCTTGGTCTAGAAGGAAAAAAATTACTATAAATGTCATTATTGGGATAAGTTCTAAAATTTAAATGCAGACTACAAATTGACACTGTGTAATCTTCCATTTTTTCTTTTTATTTGATTACCTTACTATAGCACCAATAATAGAGTACCTACACATACCTCAGGAGCAAGGACAAATGTCTGCATGAATCTCCTCAAAGCCTGGTTGTTGTTAGAGAGCAATCCCCTCACCTGGACCACCACCCCATCATTTAGAGTGGCATGGGCATCAACATGACGAATCTTGGTGTGGCAGTTGGTGAAGTTTTGTGACATCACTTTCCTATGAATTTCCTAAGGAATTAAGACAAGAGTTAACACTTTAAAATTATAATTTTTTTGGAGAGGTTTTTGCTATAGGGTCCATGGGCTTGCAAGACAGAGAGCAACAGAGAAACAGAAAGTGAGAAATCACCCCCCGGGGGGATGGCCACACCACAATCCCTTCTCCAGTCTCCATTCGAGGTTTTGGATACATACACACGTGTGAGCACTCCTGGCATGAGTTTAAGTCACCAGATCCAGGACTTGTACACCGTCAATTACATGGGAGTCCAGGGACATAACAATTATGACATCTAGTGGTCCCAATGCAAATTAACTTCTAACATAAACTTCAGAATACATCATATAGAACGAATAAATGTGCTATCACATAAGCATGTTGACACCTTATCAAACAGAAACTACCTAAACTTCTAAGAGAACAAGAATATTTAAATATCAGCACTTCCATTTTATGGGTTATTCTGTAGTTGCTTAAAAGCCTATGTAAAGCTTATATGCAAAAAAAAAAAAAAAAAAAAAAAAGCTTGGTATGCTTACTTTCTGTCCGTAGACGGCATCTGCTGGTTTTCCATTTGAATCCAATCCCCCATGCACATAAGAAGAGTTTTTTCCATAAAATCTGTACAACAGAGATAATGTACTTGTCATCTTCACATAATCTAAGACCATGTAGTTTCCTCATATTTGATACTTACCTGCTGCACCAGTACTCTTAAATATGTTTTATTATTTGTCTTTGTGTGCAGTCATCTATCCATCCCCTACATGCCGCTCAGTCAACATTTGCTGAATGAAAATGGACTTTGGTGAGGTGGAACACTTATTTTTTCACCTTTTCTTAAATTTCATTCACTGTTATTTTTAATTCACCAGAAAGAGACACAGAGAGACAAAGAGACAGAGAAGGAGAGAAAATGAGAAAGCAAGCCACCAGGTCCAGGACCCAAACCACGGACAACCATGTGGGAGTGCAGTGCCTCAATTGCCACAGGTGGTGACCTGCTGCCCTCACCCCTTTTTTCTTTGTTTTTCCAAAGGGCATGAGTACTTGCCAGAGATAAAGAGAAATCACCCACGGGAGGGGTGGGGTGGGGGGGGGTGGTCATGCCACAATCCCTTCTCCAATTTCCACCTGGGATTTGGGGCACACACTCACATATGTCTGGCGTGATTTTCAAGCTACCAAGTCTAGGACTCAAACCAAGGTTGGCCATGTGGAAATCCAGTGCCTTAACCACTACTCCAGACCTGCTGGCCCACAAAACACTTATATGGTTAAGTCACAAATTCCGGGATTCAAGGTAGGCTGATCATGCTGGAAAGGCTTTTATAGTATTTTAAGCAGAAATGTATCACTGAAAATATACCACAAGTTCCTGTTTTCACTCAGGGAAAGAACAGACAGCTAAGCTAGGGAAAGCTGTATTCTCCATAGACGTCGGAGTGTTTCTCTACACCTGAGACAGGATGTTAAGGGTTCCCACTAAACACCCAGTAACTTTAACAAGTGGTTTAGGGACAGTTTTTTTTTTTTTTTTTAACTATTTTTACTGATGCAATAAGAACTTCAGACTTCAATTTCCTATTATCTCACAATTATCTCTACATATCCTAAGTTGCTCCATTTTTATTAAAAGACAATATTTTATCAAAAAAGCAACAAACACATACAGCCTCCCCTAAAATATCACTATTAAGATGTTCAATATGGGGAACCAGCAGTTAGCATAATGGCTATGTCGCTGGACTCCCATGTAGTCGACCACGGTTCGTGTCCCGGACCCGGTGGCTTAAAACTCATGCCGGGCGCTTGTGCGTGCGTGCCCAAGATCCCGAGAGGAGAATGGAGAAGGGACTGCGGCGTGACCATCCCCCCTGGGGGGTGATTTCTCGCTTTCTGTCTCTATGTCTCTGTCTGTCTGGTGAGCGCACG